GCACCCCAGCTTCAGGTAGCCTGGCTTCCCCATAGTCAGGGCACCTGTCCTGAAGGACAGAGCAGTCCTATTGCAGCTCTACCCCTCCAGAGCTGTCCTATTATGGCTCTACCCACCCCCAGAGCTGTCCTATTGTGGCCCTAAGTATAGCCTTGCTTCCCCTTAAGTCAGGATATCTGTAACACATTTCCCCACACTCGGACCCTCAGGTGCACATATACCCGCATACATGTGTACCCCTATATACTCCGACATACATGCATACACACACACACACACACAAATACATACGATAAAAGGAAAAAAAAAACAAGAAAAATGGTACACAAAGCATTTTGGAATAAATACAGATTACTTCTAGAAAGCAAAGTCTATCTACTTTATTTTGGTTCAGACAGACAGGGAGCAGTGAATTATACAAGAATATGATGAACATTACTAATTTTGACAGAACAATGCATAGAAACTAGATGTGGGAATAGTCTTAAAACTTCCCTGTAGTGATACGGGAAATCTGGGCTGCAGAAAGGCCCAGGGGCTCACTTATGTGTGACTTACTTCTTTATAGTAACAGTTTTTGACACTACATCTTAGTTCACATTAAAACAAAATTTTGATGTGGGATGTCCTTTTGTACATGTGTTGCTTTTATTGGTTAATGAATAAAGCTGCTTTGGCCTATGGCAGGACAGACTAGCCAGGCTGGAAGGGATAGAGAGAGAGAGAGAGAGAGAGAGAGAGAGAGAGAGAGAGAGAGAGAGAGAGAGAGAGAGTGAGTAGACAGAGTCAGGGAGACACCATGTAGCTGCTAAAGGAGGCAGACAACACAGAGATGCCCAAGAGGCAAGAGGTAACAAACTACAAGCCTCGAGGTAAAATATAAAATAATAGAAATGGGTTAATTTAAGATATAAGAAGAAGAGTGAGCTAACAGGCCAAACAGTGTTTGAATATAGTTTCTGTGTAATTATTTGGTCTGGGCAGCCAGGAACAAACAAGCAGTCTCTGCTTACAAAATGGCACCCAGACGTTCGGCAACATACATCCACATAAAGCCTAAGAAAGCTTAAGAAAAGGGCTTCTAAGCCTACAAAAATGAGAGCCAAGCACAGCTTCTGGGTAGCCGCATTTTTTTCAGATAGGCTCTGTTTGCAAACAGATGTGTGACTCCTTTAAAAATCAGTTTCCTGGTTCACGCTGGCACAAATGGCTCTGGCTCTTTCAGGAGGTCTGACTATGGAACACTTAAGTGGGGTTTGTGAGCAGAGTGTTACAACTTGCTTAATGGCAACATAGACCCACTGTGTCCCTGGAGTGGGGAAGTGAAAATGGCTCACAGAGGAGGTGAACATACCTCTACCATACAGAAAGGCCAAGAGAGGCAGAGCCAGTATCCAAGGCTGGGGCAACCACACTGCTAACCATTTTAAAATGCTCCTTGTCAGATAAGGATTTCAGATTCACAATAGGACAGATTCAGACATAAAAGACAACTAAACGAGACACAGTGTGTTTAAAAAATGTATGTAGGCTTGGGAGAGAGAAAAAAGAATATACACAGTTATAAAAAGAAGTAAATGGTCTATATCTTATTCCCCTTTAAATGAAAATAAACATTTATAAACAATCATTTTGGGAATGTGTTGTTGCCTCCAAACTGCTTTGTGCTATTTCTTGGGCGAAATTTTTTTAGGGTTCACAGAGACCATTCAGGGGGGTCTTGTTCCATCAAACCACATTAGTCTGAAAGGAATCCTTGGTTCTCATCTTCTGTGGAAACAAAAGCAGAACCATCTTTTCCAAAGTAACATCTAAGGAAGACCCAAATTTTGAAGTCAAGATACCTTTATGTTGGTTTAACTTAGCGGCTGCCAGAATCAAATGTCTCTCTGCAGTAACAATTTCAAAGAAAACACAGTAATATACATAATCCATATTCCTTGTGTATATTCCATCTTTATGTGGCTTATTTTTCTTTACTCCTTTAATGTATGTTTGTCTGTATTTCTTGTAAATGTTGTTATAAGAAACAATATAAAGTGAATGTGATTAGTTTCCATTAATTTGCTTTATTGAGAAGTCTTAGCAGGCTTTAGAATGTTCTAGGAAATTCTGATTATGGGTCTATTTATCTGATTATTACATTGTATCTATAGGTATTGGATTATCAGTCAAAATAACTCTATTTTTTCCTTGCTGAGTTCATGTAAAAAGAACTTTGTAAAAAGAGTCCTTATAAAAAATCTAAATGGAAAGACAAATATCATATGTACTCACAGATAAGTGGCTTTTGTCTAAAAGAAAAGGAAACCAGTCTACAATTCACAATCCCAAAGAACCTAGATAACAATGAGGACCCTAAGAGAGATATGCATGGATCCAATCTACATGGGAAGTAGAAAAAGAGAAGATATCCTGAGTAAATTGGGAGCAGGGGGATTATGGGAGAGGGTAGAAAGGGGAAGGGGGAGGAAGGAAGAGGAGCAGAGAAAAATGTATAACTCAATTAAATCAATAAAAAAAATTTAAAACAAAGAAAAAAACACCCAAATCGATAGGAGATTGAAAAGAGAACTTCATTCGAGGAATGCAACCAGAAGAGTTGTTAAGGTCAGGAGTAGGCGAAGAATCTACAAATACAGCTGTTTGTTTGCCAGATAGTTCAGTATCAGAGAACAGAAAAGTCAGCTTTTCATTTTGTGGTTTGCCTTAATTTTACATTCTTCTCAGAATGCATGTGAGAACATAATGCTAGTTACATTTCTCCTGATGACCTGTCTGCTGGGCCGAGGATAGAGCGTGGTAACAGCAACCATCTGCTAATAAGCCTGCCCATAGCTTATTTTCTCTAAACTGCTTCAGATAAGCTGTGGGACCACATCTCAGGAACTGAGCTCTTCTCTTGTTACTATAATGTAAACAAATTGATTTTCACGTCTCTTTTTCCCTCCCTCCTTCCATTACACATTATACGCATTTTCCAAACACAGACTACATGGTCTAAAATTCAGAAAGTCAAAGAAGGGTCAGAGTTCAATGGTAAATGCCTGCCTTGCATGGAGTAGGCCCTGGGTTCAATCCCAAGCATTGCAAAATAAACAAAGACCCAGAGGGTATATAAATATGTCTTTCTACTTTTCCCCTTATTACCAGTGCCCCTCTTTAGAACTCCTCTTATCAATTCCTAAGTGAGAATTCCCGACAAGTTCCATACTTAACAGACATCTAAACTGCCTGTGTGTGTGTGCATATTCTTTGAATACATATAATATTGTTTCGTATCTCACATTTTTAATTTCTGAATGCTATTTCACTGTATGCAAATATAATTCAAACAAAACACACTAAAAATAACTATACAGTCCTACGATGTTGTCCTATAGAGAATTTAACCAGTTCTCAGTCGGATGATTCCAGTGTCTTGCAAAGATGAATGTGAGGTACTCCAAGCAACTATTTAACGGGCTGAGAGAAGAGAAACCATCTTAGATGCAACACTGTATTTAGAGATAACAGCAACCCTAAAGTACCCACAGAAGAAATATCATCCTTTAAACAAAATCAAAGGTGTGCAGTGGTGGTGCACACCTTTAATCCCAGCCCTAGGATCTCTGTGAGCTGGAGGTCAGCCTAGTCTACAGAACAAGTTCCAGAACAGCCAAGGCTACACAGAGAAATGCACCCCCCCAAAAGTTTATATCATTAAAAAAATAAAAAGTTTAGGCAATTTAAGAAGATAGAGAAGCATCCTAATTTGCTGACCTAAAACTGAAACTGCTTATTAAAAGACAGAGAGGGAGAAAACAGGTATTAAGCTATACAAGACACTTTTGTAACAGAGAGATATGATAAAAGACTAAACAATTGTGGGAATATTCATTTTCTTAGGTACAATAATAGAGATTGTAGCTTTTATAGGAAACTACCCTGATTATTAGAACATGACACACAAATAAATCTTAAAAATTATTGGCAAATAGCAAAATGCTCATAATTTTTGTATCCAATAAGGTAACTAAATACCTTGCTGGTCTTTTAAAATGTATATCTGAAACACTTCAAAAGAGAAAATGGGGGAGAATAGATTCTAGAAATTCTTTGTATAGATTGATACTTTCTGTTTTGCTTCGTCTTACCAGGGCATTTTGGGTTGAGAACGTAATTGTTGAGAAAAACTAACAAAACTTACCGTATACACACCCTAAAAGTCACTTCCATGCAGTGCTCTGTATCTGCAGCTCAGGGCTAGTACTGCTGAAAGCAACACCTGGCCTGGTGTGCCTGCGGGCTTTATGAAGAGGACTGTAGAAGGTGTCTCAGTGGCAACAGTGTACTTGAGATGAGGCTCACTATCAACACCTTTGCAACATGCAGCCCAAGACGGCCACTCCCGTGACATCATATTTTTCTTGATCTATCACTTGTTAAAAGTATTTTGGGATTAAATGTTGCCTATTCTTGGCAACTCCAGACAACAAGACTTTCATGATCTTTACCCTTAAGATTTCATCCTATTTTCCAGTCTAGTGCTGTTCCTGGGAGTTATGTGAACAGCTTTTCCTTAAAATTCCACAGTGTATTTATTACCCAGGTCACAGGCATTAAAGACACAAAACCATTAGTAATGGTAAAGAATGAACTCAATAATAATATTAAATACACACCAATTAGCATAATTTTTTTCCAAAAATTGAAAAAAGGTAAGTTTTATTTGTGTATCCACAGCTGAAAAAAGAGCCAGCCACTGATACCATGACCATTCTTCCAAACTGTGCACAGAAAATCTCCTAATCGGGAAATCAAGAGGTGGCTGAGAGGAGGAGGTGAAGTGGCCTAGGAAACAGAAACCTAAACACAATGACAACCACGGTTTAGTTGCCTACTCACATAAAGAAAGATACTAAAGCATGAAACAGTTTCTCTAGACAAATTAGCACATGGAGTCAATGAAACAATTAGATGCTTTTCATTTAGGCACATAAATAAAAAGAAATACTTACCAGGGTTTGTCTTCTCAAATTGATACCATCGGTAAAATGCTCTTTTCTTTTGTTCACTCAGGTCTGACCCCTGTTGCAACAGCCAATGAGAGATCCGGCTCTGACTGATACCTACAGGGAAAGAAAACAGCTTTTGATGGGGCTCTGGAATCAGTCAAGTCAATGAGGGCTCTGCTGGTTTTAGTTCCCCAGTAGTGATTCTACATGACTGTGTAAGGAAGCGACAACTTGAGGAAACTCCTTAACACTACCCTGACCACTATGACAAGGATGTACGCAGAAATTATCTATAAGTCAAACATTATGTCAACAAAGACTTTAAAATATCTTCTAGAATTAATCTTCAAACTGAGTCCGTAACCATGAGATATCAAGATGATGCCCAAGTAACACTACTTGTCAGATTTACATTCTACATCTGTCTAAGAATGAGATACTCTAGCAGATACGGTGAGAGAGAAAGATCTAGTCAGCAAGTTTTATTTCTCATTATTGACACTAATAAAAAGATTTAGAGGCTAGGAAGGGAAAGGTCATTGAACACATAAGCTTTTGGGCTACTTGCTAATTCACTGAAGCATCTTAGACCCATCTCCATTAGTAGAGAGGAGCAAGAGTTGGCAGACTTGTGGACTTAGGTTACAGCGTGACCTCTCAAGAAAGTTCAGTAGCTAAAAGCAGTTTCCAGATGACTTTCCTTCAAACAACAAACTACCCAACAGTAGTTCTCTGCTATTGCTAAGAGCTTCTTGTCAGCGATTAGAGAGGTGGATGATTTGCACATATGAAAGTCAAAAGAATGTCCCAAAACATTCAAGAATCACACACTCATTCTGGTCATTATATTCTTAAAAATCCAATATACAACTGGCAAAAATCAGAGAAATCAGGAAAGAAAGAAAGAAAGAAAGAAAGAAAGAAAGAAAGAAAGAAAGAAAGAAAGAAAGAAAGAAAGAAAGAAGGCATTTCCAAAAGATCATCTGGCTATGTTAGAGTCTGAAATTTCTCAAAGTCTCCAAAGCAGTGGTTTTAAACCTATGGGTTGCAACTCCCAATATCTTGCTTCAGATATTTCATGATTCATAATGGTAGCAAAATTACAGTTATGAAGTAGCAATGAAATAATTTTATGGTTGGGGGTCACCACAATATAAGGAACTGTATTAAAGGGTCACAGTATTAGGAAGGTTGAGAACCATTGCTCCAAAGGGTTAAAATACCTACTTGTGGCAACGGGACATCGACAAACACCACTGTGCCAACAGCAGTCTAAAGCTATGGTGCTCAAGAGGATGCAGGGCTACCATGACATTATCAAATGTTAACTAAAAGCAAGACCTCACGATTTTTCAGACCACTTAATAACTCCTGTTAGAAGATAACTATTGAGAACATGGGAGGAGAAGCTACAAGGAACATTATGAAGGAAAGTTCTCTGACTAAAAACTTTTACTTTTCGTCTAAACATTTGTGTGTAGGTGTGTGTGTGTCCAGTGCACAAGGTCAGAGGACAACATGGGGTTTCAGGACTGAACAAGACGGGGGTTGTTGGGCTTGGTATCAAGTACCTTCACCCAAAGAGTCATCTCACTCATCGACCATCTTTCTCTTCCAAAGGACAAGATTCTTTTTGTAAATGCTCCCAAGTAATCCTCAGAGATGGTTCCCTGTGGTAGAGAGTCCATGCGATATCTGTTCTGGCAGCTAGTGCTGTTGATTATTCTGGACAATTAAATTAGCAGCGTTTGGCATATTTTCAGCAAAATCTAGCTTCAGGCACCATGGTATCTTTTTTATACTACTCTTAAAATAAGCATGAAGAAAATGGCTGGGCAGTGGTGACGTATGCCTTTAACCCCAGCACTTGGGAGGCAGAGGCAGACAGAATTCTGTAAGCTCGAGGCCAGTCTGCTCTATGGAGTGAGTTCCAGGACAACCAGCACTACACAGAGAAACCCTTGCCAACCAAATAAAACCATTCAAATGGATTTCCTGCTGTTGTCACATAGGTAAAAAACAGGGAAGTTAAAAAAAATGTTAAGAAAAAGTATGAGATCTGTTAGCTTGCTCCAATATTAAATTTTCCTCGCATTAGAACACACACAGAATTAACCAAAGAGCTCAATAGGTAGGAGAACTAGTTGTTCGTGCTGTGGCAAAGGTGGCAATAGCCCATCAAAAGGATAACAGTTACAATATACTTATTTTCATTACAAAATATTCCCATGTTTTTTAATTTTTTTCTTTTCTTTTTTGGTGGTTTTTTGAGACAGGGTTTCTCTGTAGTTTTGGAGCCTGTCCTGGAACTAGCTCTTGTAGACCAGGCTGGCCTTGAACTCACAGAGATCCGTCTCCCTCTGTCTCCCGAGTGCTGGGATTAAAAGTGTGCGCCACCAATGCCTGGCTAAATTTAATGTTTTTTAAAAGCTACAAAAAAAAAAAAAAATCAAAAACCAAAACTAACTTAGCAACATTAAGCCATTATACTTAGTGTTAGTACAGCCATGGGAATCATATATGGCAGAGCTATTTTCAAAAACAAATTAACAATTTCCACGAAAGGTAAATTCTGGATATACAGCCCTTAGAAATGAGTATTTATCCAGCACAAACATACTCAAAAGACATGCACCAGAAGCCTCAAAAATGAACATTACACATAGCAGCCATGGTTCAAAAGCTGAACAGCCATCAGCTGCAGAATGCAAATACTATGATATCTGTGTCCTCTACTTCAGACTGCCATAGCACAGGAAAAGGATAAACTACTAGTATATGTATCCATGTGGGCAGACCTCACAGAAACAAAGCTGCTTCCCAAACACCAGACACAAAAACCATACACTACACTATCTATAGGGATGCAAATACTGGTACCCGTGTAGGAAAAGAAGGTTGAGAATGAAAGTTTATGTGGCAGCCAGTGATGCTCTTTACTGATGTGGAAGGTAGGTGCCTGTACTTTATAAAAGTCATCAAGCTGTCACCTACTGAACATACTTAAATTTTAAAAAGATCCCCACAGCCGGGTGGTGGTGGTGCACGCCTTTAATCCCAGCACTTGGGAGGCAGAGGCAGGCGGATCTCTGTGAGTTCAAGACCAGCCTGGTCTACAAGAGCTAGTTCCAGGACAGGCTCCAAAACCACAGAGAAACCCTGTCTCGAAAAAAAAATAAATATAAAAAAAAAAAATAAAAAGATCCCCACAAATTTCTGAAATTTAAAAAGTAGATAGAATATATATTAATATGTAATATACTTTATACAAATCAGGAAGTACATACTTTTATGAAAATACAATCATATATTATGTACCACATTTATATCTATATAATCAAAAGCTTACAGGCACACACTATAAATCTAAAATTGTAAACTTTCCTACATTTCTACTTCTACAGCTTCCTTAATATTTCTATAAATGTTGCAATTTCTGGAATTTGACACTGAATATTATAGTTTCTTGTTGATTCTTTTAGAAATACTGTAATTAAAGTGAATGAAGACTTATAAAAAGTCCACTTTTGCCCTCTGTCTGCAATTCATGTGACCGACTTAAAAATATGTCACACAAGTTTCTCTCTTTGTAATTACGAATTTAATAAAACAAAGGGAGGGGCAAGTAATACAAGCTGTCCTCCTGACCCACCTCAGACTCAGACAACAATGCAAGAAATAAACCAGTACAGTCAAGCCATTTCCAGAAGGGGCACTGCAAACAGATGGCTAAACAGCAAAGGTCACACTTGGAAATGACTTTTCTCAAGGGCTGGTTTGAAAGCTCGGTGGGATTTGGCATTCAGGTCCCAGCAGCTTCTCTTCACTGCCTGTCAGCTCTGCTACTTCCCTTGGGAGAAAAATTTCCCTGACACTACCTTCCCTGCTGTAGAATAAAATCTCTGTAAAAGTTTCAGCTCTTCAAAATCTTCTTTTCTACCTCTGGTGGGGCAGAAGTAAAGACAAATTTACATATAACTTATTATATCCAAAGGAGGTGGAAACAGTCTTGAGGTCCCATTCACATTACCTTCCGAACTTCAGCTGTATTGGCTGCTTCCAGGTGCTTAAACACCTACTCCCTTCCACTAGGGGGCTCTCATCCATAACCCAGTCTCCTAAATCTTTTTTTTAAATATAATTTTTTATTGAAAAAAAAATTTTTCCGCCTCCTCCCCGCC